GTGGAGCACAGGCTCCGGACGCGCAGGCTCAGCGGCCATGGCTCAGGGGCCCAGCCGCTCCGCGGCATGTGGGATCTTCCCGGACCGGGGCACGAACCCGTGTCCCCTGCATCGGCAGGCGGACTCTCAACCACTGCGCCACCAGGGAAGAAGCCCCGACATTTTTTTCATATGCTTTTTAATTTGCTTTTCTTGAATCCCCTACTGGATTATATGGTTTTAAGAGGAGGAACTCAGTATTATGTATCTCTTACCTTTGAAACACAATTTTGGTATGTCCTTTTAAACTTTATATTATTAAAAGTTTCAAACATACACAAAAGTAGAGAGAATAGTATGGTGAACACTCATGTACCCACCACCCAGCTTTGATTTTTTTATCAACTCATAGCCAATCTTGTAGTAAGTACTTTGATTTTTTTAATCTGTAGTGACTCCCTATTTTTTCAGGAAAAAAAGTCTTTAACAGTCTTTAACTTGACATTCTAGACCCTTAAGTACCTTTATTACCTACTCAGTCACAATTTATTAAACATCTAAACTGTTCCAAGCACTGTGCTGAAATACTGTAAATAAGCATTTGTTACATTAGATTCTTTGCAATTCCCTACAGATGCTCTGCTGTTTCGTACTCCTATGCACATCATATAAGATGCATTAATTCTCTCTTCCTTGTATGAAAAGCCCACACTTCCATCCCTACCTCGATTTTGTTCCCCTGTTGATCATCCACTCAGCTTTAAACCTCAGTTTAAACATTTCTTTCTTGATAAAAACCTTTCCTGAAACCCTGGAGTAAGTTAGTTGCTCCCAATCTTCAGAATTGTTCCTTGTACTTGTTATTCCATTTAACACATTGAGGTTTAATTATCCATACATGACTCTAATTCACTCACCACCATGAGCTACTTGTGGGCAGGAAACGTATTTTAATTGTTTCCATATTTCCAATGCCTAGCACCTAGCATTTAGCCTGACACTTAGAAGACTCTGAATGCATATTTATGGACTAAATGAATAAATTTCCTAGCATAATGATTTCCATATGTTACTAAATAAACATTTATTGAATTTAATTTAATGAACACAGTCCAAAGAATGTAACCCACAGGAAGAACAAGTGTTAAAAAATACAGAGCAATAAAATGGATAACTAATAAGAACCTGCTGTATAAAAAAAATAAATAAAATTCTAAAATTCCAAAAAAAAAAATACAGAGCAAAGGTGAGGTTAGAATGAGATAGAATACATGGGCAAGCTTCACAGAGCACCTTTCCTGCCTTTCCCCTGGAGCTCTATTCCCATCTCCATCCACGGTGTCTTGGGCTTTGTCAAAAATCTAGGATAGGTTGCCTGCCTTCTTTTTCTAGACTTGAAGCAGTCCTTAAGGCTCTAGTTATCTATATCTTGGATTTGGGAATCTTGTCAGTTTTTGTGTTTCCTTTCAATTCTTAGGAATAAAAACTCATCTGCAAAGCTGCTGGGCCCATTTGCTTCACAGGTTGCCAGTGGAACTCTGACATGAGCAAGGAACCCCAGCCAATATTCTTCCCAAGCTGTTACAGTATTTTGAAGCCAAGGTAATGAGGCCCTCTGCTGCTTACTGACACATCTGTCATCAGCTGTCCACTGCAGGCACAGGGAACTGCAATGCTAAAGGTGGAAGAGAGGGAATGGGGTTAGTTCAGGGAAGTGAAATTAATTCAGCATGGCCAGCATAGAGGAGTTGAGTTGCAGCAAGAACCTGGAGAGCTGGACAGGCGCTACATCATGAAAAACATTATGTGTCATACTCAGGAAGATGGACTGTTATCCTGAATGCTTTTACCAGAAAACCTTTAGAAGTATATCTTTAAAATATTTTTATTTTCTTATTCAAAAGCCATACACATTCAATGTAGAAATTTTACAAAGAGCAGAAATGTGCAGAGAAAATCATTCTTAATCCAATCACCTGGAGATAAACTCTTTTAAACATTTTGATAATGTTCTTTCAACCTTTCTATGCATATAAACATGAATGCATATTAAAAAGAAAACAAAATAAAGCTTATACTATATACATACATATATATATATATATATTGCTTTTAACTTGCCTTTTCATAAACACTTCTGATCAATCGGTTGCCTTTTAAAAAATGATTTTTGAAGGGCTACAAGGTATTCTATTATATGGCTACGTTACAGCTTATTTAATTAACTTATTGTTGGGCATTTAGGTTGCTTTAGTTATTTTGCTATTGTAAATAACATCTTGAACAGTTTTGTGCACTAATATATATATATAATTTTTATACATATTTACATACTTAAATCCAAAAGTGCAATTATCACACCAAAGCTGAGTATTTTTAAGGTTTCTGATACAGCTCATGCCATAAAAAGTTGTATGAAATTACACTCTCACTAGTTAGATCTTAGAATGTCTTCTCAGCACTTTCATCCACACTCGAAGTTCTTGTTCTTTTAAAATATTTACAGCTTAGTTTCTTAATTTGATTTTATGTGTTACTAGTGAATTTGAACATTTTTTCATGAGTTTTCTTCTATTTTTTTGTTTTTTTAATTCCCTATTCATGTCGTTTGCTAACTTTTACTTTTGGTCATCAACTTTACTTTTCATATGGTTTATTGTTTATGGTGTTTATTGACTTTAATAAAATTAAAATTTTTAAGTAGCCAAATCTACCAATCTTTTCCTTTATGGTTTCCTCCTTTGCTTTTTTGCTTAGAAAGTTCCTCCACTGAATAATTCTGATCACTTCTGGTTTGGCACTGCCAGATTCCAATAGATTTTTGCTCAAATAAACTCTTAAAAGAAAAAAAAAAAAGACAGTTCCATCATTCTGCGATCAACTTTTTTTTTTTAAACGTGTATTTCTTCTAGCTCTTTTAAGATTTTAATTTTATTTATTACTTTGGGATTTCATTGTGACAATGTGAGATAGAGTTGTAATCCTCTCTCCCCAGTACAGTGCAGCTAATCAGTTATCAGACACAATTTACTGAATAATACATCCACGGGTCCAAATGCTACCCTTATAATCGCTGCTATCATCGTCCCGGGGTTTCATCTATTGAGAGTTACTGGAAAGAGGGTATGTAGGACAGTGAATAAACACCATAGGAATAAATAGTACTACCGCAGGTGTGAACATTTAGACCAGGCAGAGGAAGGACAGTAAAAGAGTTGTGCCTATTAATATTATGGTGATTGCTATAGGTTTTTAGTTTAGTAGTGGGTTAACCACATATGGAATTTTCAACATAGTTGCTTATTAAAATAGATAACTGAAAAAGTTAAAGAGCAGGAAAAATAAAGCAGGGCAATCTTCCCCAAATAAATTTGAGTCTATAAATCTAATTCCACAATCGTCTCACGAGCCATCTGTCACATGGACTACGGTCCTTTAAACAGCCCTCACGTATAAAATTTGAGAGAGGAAGTTCAGATGAAGGTCTTGAGTCTTCGAGGATAATTTCACTTAGAGAAAACGAAACATTTTTAATTGTGGCGCTCATCACCAGCGCAATAACCACCACAGAAACAGCACTGACCCCGTATTTTCATACCAACATATCCCTGAGGAGCTAAGGCAATTGCGACAGGGAGAAACGATCAACTCTTACCGTTTTGAGCACCAGATTCCTGTTTTTTTCCGTTTGCAAAGGAAACGCGGGAAACTGGAGCCTGGAGACGTTAGGCCGCAACAGAAAGGGTTATTTTTCACTCGAACGGTAGTTTTCGTAAGTGCGAAAGATACCAAAGTGAGAAGTACAGGTTACAACCCAGAACTTCCTGGGGGCGCCGGAGCCCCCGGCGCAAGGGTGCCCGCAGCGTCGCCGGCCGGGAGGAGGCGAGCGCCGCCCGGGCACGCCCCTCCGCTCCCGTCCCCGCCCTCGCCCCGGGGGGCGCCGTCGCCGTGACGTGAGGGGCTGGAGGAGGCGTGGGGCCGCGCAGCGGTGCTGATTGCCGGAACTGGAGCCCTCTGCCGGGGCGGGGGGCGCGCGGGCTCCGCGGGGCTGGCAGGTGTGCTGCGCGTGCACCTGGCGAGCGATGGCGCCGGACGCGGGCGCCCCGGGATAGCGCGGGCTAGGTGGCGGCGCCCGGCTGGGGCAGCAATGGAGCTCCTTCGGCTGCTGCTCCTGGCTGTGTTGGCGTCGGAACCGGCGGCGGCCGCCGGAGCCGAGACCGTCGGGAACTCCAGCGAGGGTAAGGTCGGGGGCGCCTGACTGCTGCAACCCAAACTTGGTCTTGCATTTCTTGCAAGGTCAGAGTCCACCCCGGGGTCTGTCCGCGCAGCGGGGGAGGCGGTGAGTTCAGAACCGGCAGGAATGGATCGAGGTCCTTTCCTGCAGAAGGCAAGTCCCATTGCTAAGGAGGCCTTACTGTCAACCTCCTAATTTAGGTTGGGGGAATGGGAAGAGATAGGAAACTCTCTTGTTCAGACACATTATTCTCTCCCTTAGGGTGCAGCCATGTTTGTAGGTTTTATTTAACACATTAAAACACCTCTTTGCTCCCAAGTGGCTGGTCTGAGCGTCTGGACTGCGAGGCTTGATGCAGCCAAGGTGCAGCGGGTTTTTGTACTCCAAAATCTAGGTGCTTTTCAAACTGGTTATGCTCTACGGAGTTTCAGAGGAAAAGTGAACCCAGAATGGGACTTTAGACCGTAGGTCATGTGCTTGGTGAATGGATTTTAGCAATAGTTGGTGGTTTGTTAATATAAACTGTAAAAAGCGTTAATTGTATGAAGCTGATAATCATGTGCTTTTCCACGGGGTCAAGAACATTCTTGGTTTTGTTTTGAGCTTAAGAGACTAGTTGTAGTTCTGAAACATAATATTTTCTGAATAATGTGATTCTGTTTCTGAATGCTTATCTTTGAAAAGCACTTGTGCAAACTGAATCCTAGAATTTTTGCCTAGAATTTAAGGCCAAAGCTGAAAAGGGCGGTTATAGTTTTGCAGAAAAAATAGCCTTATTTATAACAGGGCGCTAACATTCACTGCGTGCAGTACGTACCAGGTGCCTTTCATGGCAGTGTTATTTAATCCTTACAACCCTGTTAGATAATTATTGTCCTCACTGGTGGAGGATGACCCTGAGGCCCAAGACGATGCTCACTACACAAGCAAACAGCTAAGAGGGGCACAGACAGCAGATGAACCCGTGTGTCTTGCTGTCAATTTCATGGTCTTCCACCTCAAAGTAGAGTCTCTTCTCCCTCCCTCATATGGCTATTTCCATTCTTCCAAGGTGAAGAATCTGAGAGATTGAGTTTGCAGATGATCAGAGGAGAGAAGGAATTTGAGAAACTAATGTTTTTCAGACACTGTTTCTCACCTCTTTTCTGCGATTACAGCACTGTTATTTCCTCAACCACATTATTCTTCTGACCTTGCATCAGTATTGCTGTTGTGTGCAGGAGAGGGACAGCAGGTGGGAACTTGACTGCTGAGGGTTAATGAAAGCTGATATTCTCCACATCTGTCAGATAAAGATCAGAGTGGAAATTAAGGAAGACTTAGTTCCAGACTTGCATGATCCTCCTGGAAAATGTCTGGATTTCTATTTGAGGATTCTGATGAGTACACAAACTCGAAATTGAGTAGCTGCTGTAAGTTAGGAGGATTTACCCATCTTTAGCAGGAAGAGCTAAACACCTTGAGTAGTGGCTTAGAAGCTAAGTGAATCTTTGAAGGTGGCAGATCGAGTTCTAGAATGTCTGAGGATGGTGCTTTCTGTGACCAGCAGGAGATGAACCATACATCTAAACAGTTTTCCCTTCTCTTGGAGTCCCGGTTCCCTGCTACCCTGAACACCTTTCATTTTTGATTCAGGTTCATATCTGGTAACTCACAGGAACCTACCTAGTGATTGGAGTTGAGCAGAGTGCTATTTGAACCTTCTCCAGTTTGTGCTATCCATAATGCTTAAGGAAGGTAGCAGCCCACTTGTGTAGTTGGTTGCAGGTGTTCTCTTTCTCTCAAAAGTGTGTGCATTTTTGTGTTTCCTTTCACCTTTTAGCGCTAATGAAAATTCATAAGAAAGTATCAATGAGAAATTGGGAGGGGCAGTTGAATGCTGGCCAGCTCAAGTAGCTGAATGGTTTTTGTTTTTAATATTCCATCTGAAAGAATTATGAAGACTAAGCGTTGACAAATCTGTCCTAGAATTTTTCTGTTGAGTTAAAGCAGAAACAGTGGAGGTACATTTCAGTAAATAGTAAAAAGGAAGAGGTGGAAAATTTTAAGGTTGCAAGTTTAGGATCTGATTGAGAAAGAAAAGGAACATACTAGGATTGGGTAGCTCTTTTTAGAATGGAACTATTGGAAGGAAAGAGTGACTCTGGGTAGGAATGGAGGAGGAAGGGTATGAAAAATAGAAAAGGGTCCCCTGCTGTACGTTAGACGGCAAGAAACATTTTTGCCAGAAAAAGCAGAGCTACTGCTTTTTAGAGGAGAGCTACAGCTTAAGTGCTCAGTCTCGTGTTAGCCATTTGCCCTGTAATAGCCTTCTTTTTTTGTTGTTAAATTTATTTAGTTTTGGCTGCATTGGGTCTTCATTGCTGCACGCGGGCTTTCTCTAGTTGCCGTGAACGGGGGCTACTCTTCGTTGCGGTGCGTGGGCTTCTCATTGTGGTGTCTTCTCTTGTTGCGGAGCACGGACTATAGGTGTGCAGGCTTCAGTAGTTGTGGCACGTGGGCTCAGTAGTTGTGGCTCGCGGGCTCTAGAGCACGAGCTCAGTAGTTGTGGCACACGGGCTTACTTGCTCTGTGGCATGTGGGATCTTCCCGGACCAGGGCTCGAACCCGTGTCCCCTGCATTGGCAGGCGGATTCTTAACCACTGCGCCACCAGGGAAGCCCTGCCCTGTAATATCCTTGATGTGCTGTCATTCCTGTCCACTCCTCAAGTCATAAGATCTAATTATCCCTCAAAAAATGTTTCTGATGCATCCTTTTCCAGATGACTTAGAAGCGCAGTTAAGTTCCTGTTAACCTCTTCAGGATATATTTTTGTATTTGTGTCTTCCTTTGCCATGTCTGTTTTTATGAGTAGAAATGAAATGCAGTTTCTGCCAGGCTAGACTGTTAAAGTTGTCTTGACTTTCAGTATATTTCCTTGTCGCTCTGTGGAAGTCACTTTCTCAACTCGCTGTTCATGATGGATGTGCTGGGCGTTTTATATCTGTTAGACCTCTTCTTCCCACTAGTTTATTTGTAGGAGGACCATACTGACTGCCTGCATTTTTTTTTTTTTTTTTGATAAGGACATGAGCCTCTGAAACATTGGAAAGCTAATAGAAACTAATAATGATATTTTATTGTGTAGTATCTGACAGTTTACAAATTTTTTCCCATTTGATACTTACAGCAGCCACGTGATGTATGCAGCACAGTTAACTGCATTTTACCATGAGGGAACTGAGGCCCATAGGAAATAATTACTTGTCTGAGGTCACAAAATTCAACTATCATTTACCAAACATTTACTGTGTGCCAACCAGGTACCTGGCACTGTGTGAGGCTCCGGAACATCAAATATGACAGGGCCCTGCAAGTCAGGACTCAAACCATAACTGGTTTGTTTAATATACAGTATTCTATAAAAATTGTGAAATGGCTCTTGGATTGCCAGAGGATTTTCACACAAAAGTTAGATAAAGATAACTAAGAATAGGAAAAAATATAGCTTTCCTTCCCTAATTCATCAAACGTTGTGTTAGAAGTTCTCACGCCTGGCTGGACATTAGAATCACCTGGAGCCTTGAAAAAAAGGCATGTTGGTGAAGAGACAGCTAGAAATTGAAATAGAAAATAAAAAGTAAATTTATAATACCATCAAGAAATATTAAATATTTAGGGATAATTATAATGGGATATGTTACAATCTCTATAGAGAAGACTGTACAACATTCTTGAGATGAATTAAGAAAATAAATAAATAGAGGGATATCTCAAATTCGTAGATTAGAAAAATTCTGTGTTATAAAGATATCATTTTTCCCTAAATTAATACATTCAGTGCCATGTCAATCAAATCCCAGTAGGGTTTTTTTTGTGGAAATTGACAAGCTGCTTTCTAAAATTTATATGGAAATGAAAAAGGGCCAAAAATACTCAAGACAGTCTTGAAGAGGAAGTACAATTTGGGACAGAAATTAAGACAGTGTAATATTGGTGTTAGGATAGGCAAATAAACCAATGGTACACAGTTAAGAGTCCAGAAATAAACCCTCACACATGTCACTTGACTTATGTGAAAGGTGGAATTGCTGAGCAGTAGGGAAACTACTTTCAATAAAGGTTGCTATGCCAACAGGATATTCATATGGGAAAATGAACCTTGACCATCCCGCCTCACACCATACATAAAAATCAGTTTCATGTTGATTTTAGACTTGAATGTGAAAGGTAGAACAAAGTTCTAGAAGTTAACATGGGGAATGTATCTTCCTGATCTTGGAATATGTTGGCAAAGAATTCTTTAAAATCATAAAGGAAAAACTTGAGAAATTGGACTGCATTAAAATTAAAACTTCTGTTAATCTAAAGGTAACAGGAGTGAAAAGACAAGCTATAAGAGTGGGAGAAGATATTTGTAACACATATCTGACAGAATACTCGTATCAGTGATGACTAAAGAGTTCCTAAAATTCAATAAGGACAGATAATCCAGTTTTTAAAGGCAAAAGGCTTAACAGACCCTTTCACAAAGAGGATATTTAAATAACCAATAGGTAAAACAAAATGTTCTTACCAAGTGTTGGTGAGAGTATAGTGTAACTGGAATACTTCCTCACAAGCTGATAGAGGTCTAAGTTGGCAAAACCATGTTGGATAACTGTTCAGG